CGGCTGTGAGATGTTCGCTTTTGATGTTGGAAGTGCGGCAGCAGCTTCACGACCGCTGGCTGTTTGACATGTGTCAGCTGCATGTTAACATATGTCAGTTAACGTATGTCAGTTAACATGTGTCAGCTGCAGAGAGAAGTGAGACCGACGCAGACTATCACCACCTCCATCAAGCGGTACCCGGCCTGGGATAGTGATACTGAACTGCTCCATCTGGAGAGTGTTGTATGCGCTTGCCTCGAAGTAGGAGAGTGATATGGCCCTCCCGCGATCAGTAACGTCCTCTCGCCACGGCTAAATGGTTTGGGGATGTGGATGATTTTGAAGCTGTCTTTCGACGCAGTGCCCATGCACGTACCTACTGTTGCCTGCGAGGAAACTCCTCCCCTCCCCCGCGCGATACTCGCCTTGTCGCAGCCCATGTATGATTGACGTTTGGCGTGTTTGACAGTGCCATTGCGCCGCTGCATTGCTCCCGTGCTTCTGGCAATCACCGGAGGGCAGCGAGGCGAGTCGCGCCTCCCATGGAAAGGCTTCTGCCGCGTAGCGTCTCATTGGGATCGATGCCCTAGTCCAGCACACGGGGTCACGTTGCGTAACAGTTAGTCCCGGAGACACTGAGCCGGGACGCCTGGTGATTGCAATCGGGACCCTGTTACGAAACAGAGTGTGTCCCGCATGACCTGTTGGAAGCGGGATCCGTGTAAATGTCGCGCTGGCCTGTTAGCGGGCCGGAGTCCCCGCACCCGCACTCCGCAGGTCATGCCAATTATGGGGGACAGGCAAAGGAGGTCATACAAGGAGGTCACGCACTATATCTGTGCACAGACGTAAGAACACGAGGGAGGGAGGAGGAGCTCTGTATGACGGTGCATCGAAGGAGAGTTAATAAGCACCTGACTGTGCATAACCGGGGCCCTGATTCGGAAAGCGCAGTTTCTGCCGATCGATCCCGATTCTGACCTGAGTCGATGCGGATGAGATCGTTTGCGTTGATGATATAAGAGGCAAACGTTCTATGGATTTCATGGAAGCCTACATAACACACCCTAGACACAGTCACGCCCGACTGCCCTAGTTGGTCCTTACAGTATATGCCACATTGGGGATTAGTTGTTATTTGAGTATATGCCATAAGTGACATTTCCGTTCGTGTTGGCTTAGATGATTAGGTTGGCCCAACTCGTATTTCAGCTCGCTACAAAAATGTCATGGAATCGGTTCTACCCTGAATAACTGAAAATGTTTTGATTCCTGAGACATTTTTTGTTCCGCTCGCGGAGGATCTCAAGTTCGATGTGTACTGTATCGTTGTTGTTGATTGGAGTTTTAGGGCGCGTCGACTACTGTGGTCATTTTGCGCCCAGACGTGTACTGTAAATTTGCCCCAAAGCAAACATTTCCAAAATGTCATCAAGGTAATGAGACGACCGGGGGTGACGTAGGAGGGGAATGACATGACAGTTACCACCCCCCTTCCGGGGACTGAAATATGTTTTGCCCCCTCATAATTTTGGGGACCACTTTTCCCAAACTGAAGATGAAGTCTCTACATTTATTTCACCAAAAGTAGATTCAAGGAGGCTCTTCATAGCTGACTGAGTGGCAATAACTGGGGCTCAGAAGACCATAGCTGACTGACGGGCAACAACTCGGGCCCAGAAAACCATTTTCTGCACGAAGAGGCCCATTTGGTGGATCAGGAGATTCTGTTTCGTTATTTCGTGTTGACAAAGACTGCTGGCTGGAGAGGCCCCGCTATGAACTAGGAGTCCCTTGTTTTGGAATAGGAAGCACCCTTGACATATCAGGAGGCCCCTTTTCTAAATCAGTGGGTGCTTCTCAATTGTCAAACGCCTTTCCGGGCCTGCATGTCCTGTTGTGAGATATTGAAAAACCCGTTGCCGGATTTGGAGGCCCATTTTGTGAAAAGGAAGGATCTTGTTTTGTATTTGGAGACTCCTGTGCGCTGGAAGACCCTTTAATGGAGCTGGAGCCCCTCTTAAGGTAAGGAGTCCCTTTGCTGCGTCTGGGATCCCCAGTATTGATTAGAAGACTCTTGTTCGTGATTTTGTTGCTGTCGACATTTATTCACATGAACATTGCTAACTGTAATGACAAATCTAAGAGGCTCGTGTTGCTCCCTGGAAACGACGCTGCTCAGGGGGCCTCCCTTTGAGCAACCCTTTTTTGCTCAGGAGGCCCTTGGAAAAGTCTGCCCCCCCAACTTAAAATCCGTGGCGCCTCCCCGGTGTTGGCATTGTCGCTACGACGATTGCTTGTATGGAGGAAGTCAGGCGCGTATCTGTTGGGAGACGGAAGGGGAACTGATGTTGTGGGCCTAACCCGATGCTTGTAGTGGCCAGCTCTTCAAAGTAACAACATGGTCTCTGCCTCTACGGGGGCAATACATTACGGTACGCTCGAGGGGGCTGCGGTCCCCCCCCCCCCCCACCGTTCCCCAGCGACGGGGAATGATTTCCGTGACTTGTGCCTGCTGTGATCCCTGAACAACACCGCCTTGATTATGTACGTGCTGGGTGTTGAATCGCGCCCGGTCCGATCCGGGCCCGGTGCTCATTTGTTTGCCTTCCCTTGATGTTCCTTTTTGGACGTTCCTCCGAGCACTTGCAACTCAGGCCTTCTTGCCCGTTACCCGTGTTCTTGTACGTTGTTCGCTTGCCGCCTCTACCGCTCTACCGCCTTACCGGCCCCGTCGCTTTAATTTACCACCAATGATCACCATGGTCACTTTTGATCATCGGCCTTAAGGATCTAACCTGAAACTGACGCGGCTGGATGGGGGAATATCAACCCCACGCGATCCCAGGACTCATGTAACATGTACATGACATGGGCGGAGCCCATGAACGTACTTGAACAAAAATTTGTTGACTACTTGCGGCTGTCTGGCCGAGCCTTTATCCACATGACTAAGTTAGCTATAACTATTGATACGAGAGCCATTGGTGCACCCTGAAGTGCTGGGGGTCTGTGGCTCCAGCCTCCTGAGACAGATCACACAGGCCCCTTCACGTGAAACGCTAGGAGTTTACTCTGCGCGCCTCGACTAAAAAAAGATCTTCCGGAACCAGGACGGCATCCAAGCTTTCTCGAACTCAGTACCCATGAATTCATATAAAGCAAAGATGTGATTAGTTGCTAGAAATGAGAACGCTTCTGGAGCTGGCGGCCGCGAGACATATAGCTACGTCCCTGACAAGACCCTGGGTGTGGTCTTGCCGAAGGAGGCTTGAAATCAGGGCAAGGTGTGTCCCCGCCATCGTATGCTCTGGTGACTGACCGATTTTAGACCATGTGACTCACTTTCTGGAGCGCGAGGAGGCGAGGGAAAATCACTTCACCGTCGGGAAGTTTTGGCAGCTTTTGCGTTGTTGGCAATATGTGCATAATTTTAGGTGCCGTTCGGTGATGCGGGATATAGCCCGTATACCCTGGCTGTGTGATCAAACAACACGGAATACCAGTAGAATTGATTTAATACTTGCCGTTGCCATGGCAACCACTGGCGTCCCAACAACTGGCAGGTGCTGTTATCTGTTTTTGACGGGGGACGCGGTACTCGATGTGTTTGCGGGGGAGGCTCTTCAGCTTGCAGTATTGGCGCCGCTGTCCGTTATCACAATCAAGTCTGCTGTTATTGCTTGTAGCGGCGGTCGGAAAGTGTGTTATTGACTGTCATTAAGACACGGATGACGACGTCGGAGCTAACGTTCAGCTCGCTGCGCTGCGACACGCTGGCGCGCGAGACGGCCGAGAAGCGGCTGCAGCAGCGGCGGCGCTGCCTGCTCGTGCTCGTGCACCAGTACCTGCGCTGCGAGGGGTACGCGGGGGCGGCCGAAGCCCTGCTGGCGGAGGCGCCGCCTGGCCTTGGCCAGCACCAGCTCTGCGACAACGTCGACCTGGACGTGGTGCTGCAAGACTACGAGGCTTACTATCAGCTGCGCTACCAGCGTGTGCCCCGGCTCACGCGCCGCGCGGCCGACGGCGGCGGCGAGCCGCAGGCGGCCGAGCCGCGTCGGCAGCGACCGCGGGGCCGGCCGCGCGCGCCGGCCGACCCCGGCCGCGGCGGCGACCCGGGCGCCCCGCCGCCACCGCCCGAGCTGCTGCTGCGCGGCCGAGAGCTGGTGCGCGCCGCCGGGCACGAGGAGGAGGCAGAGCCGGAGCGGCCGGCGCGCCGGCGCACGCTGCAGCTGCCGCCGCCGGCCGGGCCCGAGCTGCAGGCCATGGCGGAGCTGGTCTCGCGCGACCTCTACCTCGACGAGCCGGGCGTGCGCTGGGCGGACATCATCGGTCTCGAGTCGGCCAAGCGCGTGGTGCGCGAGGCGGTGGTGTACCCGCTGCGGTACCCGCGCCTTTTCGCCGGCACGCTGGTCACGCCGTGGCGCGCGCTGCTGCTCTTCGGCCCGCCGGGCAACGGCAAGACACTGCTCGCCAAGGCCGTGGCCACCGAGTGCAGGACGACTTTCTTCAACGTGTCGGCCGCCACGCTGGTCAGCAAATGGCACGGCGACTCGGAGAAGCTGGTGCGTGTGCTGTTCGAGCTAGCGCGCGCGCACGCGCCGGCCACCGTCTTCCTGGACGAGCTGGACGCGCTGATGGGCCAGCGCGGCGGCCTGGAGCACGAAGCCTCGCGGCGCCTCAAGACCGAACTGCTGGTGCAACTGGACGGGCTGGCGCGCGGCCCGCAGCCCGTGTTCGTGCTCGCCGCCTCCAACCTGCCCTGGGAGTTGGACCAGGCGCTGCTGCGGCGGCTGGAGAAGCGCGTGCTGGTCGGCCTGCCGTCGCCGGCCGAGCGCGCCGCCGTGTTCCAGCACTACCTGGCCGAATGGCCCCTGAGCCCGGCGCTGCTGCTGGAGCCGCTGGCCGAGCTCACGGACGGCTACTCGGCGGCCGACATTCAGCTGGTGTGCCGCGAGGCGGCCATGAGCTCGCTGCGTGCCGTGCTGCGCCGCCTGGAGGGCGAGGATGGCGACGGTGGCACCGCGGCCGACCAGGTGCGGCCGGCGCCACTGACGGAGGAGGACCTGCGCACGGCCATCGCTCGCTGCCGGCCCACCGGCGCCCGTCACTGGGACCAGTACGTCCGATGGATGGACACGTATGGCGCCGAGTGAGGGACCACGGGAGGGATCACCGGCGCCCGCCATTGGGACCAGTACGTCCGATGGATGGACACGTACGGCGCCGAGTGAAGGACCGCAGGAGGGATCACTGGCGCCCGTCACTGGGACCAGTACGTCCGATGGATGGACACGTATGGCGCCGAGTGAGGGACCGCAGGAGGGATCACTGGCGCCCGCCACTGGGACCAGTACGTCCGGTGGATGGACACGTATGGCGCCGAGTGAGGGACCGCAGGAGGGATCACTGGCGCCCGCCACTGGGACCGTACGTCCGATAGATGGACACGTACGGCGCCGAGTGAGGGGCCACAGGAGGGATCACTGGCGCCCGCCACTGGGACCGTACGTCCGATAGATGGACACGTACGGCGTCGAGCAAGCGGACGCGAACGATGGCAGGTGAGGGCCCATGGGTACCCGTCACTGTGGTCGGTATGGCCTCCGAATGGGTCTTCGACCGCTCCCCAGTGCAACTGTCGTGACATGGTGGCGACAAGGTGTCGATTAGTACCGAGGTACACATCACATCGGCGTGGAACGAGAAGAGCCGATCTGTCCATGGCCACAGGTGCGTGACTGGTTGGCATATGCGGTGCTGATAATCGTCAGTCGTTTTGTTTCAAAGTGGACCGCTTTGCGCGTGGACTCCGCTTGCACACTGACATCGATCATCTACCGACGAAAATAGGTGAAACCCGCAGTACAGGGAGGTCTGGTCGGCTGTGTGCGGGGCCAGAGCATTCCAAATATTGGACTGGGAGTTTGCTGATGGAACAGGCTTGGAACTCCCGTTTGGGACACGGCTTATCATGACGTCATCGGTGCAAATCAGCGCTCATTCGGCTGTGGAACGGTTCGGAAAGATCGGCCTTGATGGACCATCTACTGGTGTTGCTGATAAACAGTTGGGCCGGCGAATGGCGCGCTGCGTGTGGTGCCTTGCCGGAAGCATTGTGGGTGGAATACACGAATGCCCAAACAATGTGCTTTTGTGTTGGGCGAACCATCGAGACCCAATGAAGTACAGCATACTTACCGTCGAGGGTGATTCGGTTGTAGACCATAACTGTTTGGTGTTGTCCGTATCATGTGCATTTAACTCTAGTACTTTCACCGGCTGATTTCTTTTTGCGTGCAACTAAAGGGAACATTTCACCCTTGAAGGTTATTACAGGACATATAATTAGCTCAAATATGAGGTGCTTAAACCGTGCTCAATGGATGTGGTTATGCTATTTGTTTTTGCTAAGAGTTCTGAAATCATAATTATGCTGAAGAAAAGGTGCAGGTTCGCTGCGGCATGCACAGTATGACGTCATATCTAACCAATCACGACCGGCACCAGCGGGCAGCGGCCAGGTCGTTGGCCGTCGGTGTTGCTGTTCGTCTCCACGTGACACTGTCCTGGCTGGAGATGTGCGGATAGGATAATGGCATCGAAGTACAGCAGCTTGAGCGCTTTGAACCTGAACAATGTGCAGTTGTAAATATCTGTGTGGACAACAGTCGAGGTGTTTAGTTCAGAACCCGTGTCTGCCTGCTGCCGTGGCGGCGCCGTGTTCTCATGGCTCGCTCGCTGCCGTTGCAGTGATGCGGCTGACGCGGCCGACGCTGTACAGTAACCCGGTAGTGTCCTGCGACCCGCGCGACCTGCCCGGCGCGACGCTGACCTCGGCGCCGGACGTGACCAGACTGCCCGACCTGCCCGACCTCCAGCTGGGCGAGATGCTGCTGCTGCCCCAAAGCTTCGGGTGAGGCGGGCAGCCGGCGCGGAGCAGTGCCGTGGGCCGCGTCTAGAGCTCGGGTGAAGCGGGCAGCGCGTGCGGGGCAGCCGACGCCACGCGGGAATGTGAGACGCGCCGGTGTGATTGAATCATTACTACGGGGGCTGTGCCAGGGAGAGGACACTTCATGGCGGGCGTAATTTGGGTTGCGTTGTTTGTTGTGAGCCCATTTGGGGTGTGCGGCATGGCCTTGAGTGGTGAAGGATGGGGTCCAGACGAGGGTCGGGGGTGTGATATTGGCAGTTTTTTTTTGACGCCTTGACTGTTTTGTGGTGGAGTCATAGGTGTGACGCGAAGCCGAGCTTTGAAGCTAGTCGTTAGGTATGTGGTATGAGAATATACTTCAATCGAAATGTTTGATCTTAAATTGCCTTCCGGCACTGCTTTCCACGGCCATCGTGGCGTTGTTTTATCGCCGACTCTCTGCATCGCTGCCGACTATTTACCGTAATTCATTTTGCTTCCGCCAGTGGACAAGACCGTGGTTTTGCGTATCGGGTCACACTCGCTAACCCTCGCTCTCTCATCTCCCTCCCCCAAGAGCATCTACCTGGGCGAGACGTTCTCGTGCTACCTGTCGGTGCCCTAACCCTCGCTCTCTCATCTCCCCTCCCCAGGAGCATCTACCTGGGCGAGACGTTCTCGTGCTACCTGTCGGTGCACAACCACAGCTCGGAGCCGGCGTCGGACGTGACGGTGCGGGCCGAGCTGCAGACGGGCTCGCAGCGGCTGACGCTGACGCCCGGCCCGGGCGGCGTCGAGCGGCCCGTCACGCTGCCGCCGGCCGCCAGCCGCGACCACGTCATCCACCACGAGGTCAAGGACACCGGCGCGCACATGTGAGAGTCGCCGGCGGAACCGCAGCGGGGGGGGGGAAGGGGGGGCGGATAGCTGCAGAGGGTGGGGATGGGAGGAATGCCGGCCACTGGCCCGCCGTATAGGGTCTGCTCAGGACATCGGAGGGTGGGGACGGGAGGGAGGCTGGCCACTGGCCCGCCGTACGGGGCATGTTCAGGACACCGGAGAGTAGGAATGGGAGGGAGGCTGGCCACTGGCCCGCCGTACAGGGCATGCTCAGGACACCAGAGAGTAGGAATGGGAGGGAGGCTGGCCACTGGCCCGCCGTACAGGGCATGCTCAGGACACCGGAGAGTAGGAATGGGAGGCAGGCTGGCCACTGGCCCGCCGTACAGGGCATGCTCAGGACACCAGAGAGTAGGAATGGGAGGGAGGCTGGCCATTGGCCCGCCGTACAGGGCATGCTCAGGACACCGGAGAGTAGGAATGGGAGGGAGGCTGGCCACTGGCCCGCCGTACAGGGCATGCTCAGGATGCCGGAGGGTGGGGATGGGAGAAATGCTGACCGCGGACCCGCCGTACAGGGCGTGCTCAGGCCAGCAGCTCACGTGGATGGGGGCGCGCGAGGGTCCCCGGGGGCACACCTGTGTGAAGCGACGCCGGCGCGGCAGACCGCACGTCGGGCAGCAGTGACATGTTGACATATGAATGGTGAATGTTTGCTTCCGGCTGAGGTTTTCCTGCGTGTACCGCCGAGCGTGGCTTGCTCTGCACTGTTCTGCGCTTCCCAGTCTGGTGTGCGCCATTAACTACATCAGCGAGGCGGGCGTCAGCAAGTTCTTCCGCAAGTTCTTCAAGTTTGAGGTCCTGAAGCCGCTGGACGTCAAGACCAAGTTCTACAACGCGGAGGTGAGCTGGCGCCGTTGCTTGCCGCTCAAGGACCTCAATAAGCCCATGCAACGTGAGCCGTCACCAGCGCAGCCATTGCTCTGTTGAGCCCCGCATGAAAACCTGTACAGAACCGCCAGACGGTTGTCCGCCTGCGCTCGACTCTGTACATAGCCCACAGGGTCCCGACGCGCTGTGTTTCGCCTGGCGCTGGGCACTGCGCAGCAGCACGCCTCCGAGCCGTACCCTGCTTGGTAACCCATGCAACTGCGCTGCTCCATGGCGCACCCCCTCTGGCCATGTGCAGCGGTTCAGCTCCCCGGCGCACCTCCTCGGGGCATGTGCAGCGGTTCAACTCCGTGGCGCACCTCCTCGGGCCATGTGCAGCGGTTCAGCTCCATGGCGCACTCCCTCGGGCCATGTGCAGCGGTTCAGCTCCGCGGCGCACCCCCTCGGGCCATGTGCAGCGGTTCAGCTCCGTGGCGTACCTCCTCGGGCCTTGCGCAGCGGTTCAGCTCCGTGGCGCGCCCCATCGGAGCATGCGCAGTAGCACCGTTATGTGGCGCTTCCCTTGGCTGAGCGCCGCTCGTGCGTTGTGGGCAGTACGCATCGCTGGGTCAGGACATGCATGACGGACTTCCACTTCTCTCTCTCCGTCGCCGTACCCGTCCGCTGTCCCCCCCCCCCTCAAAACATTTCTGAAACCTACTGACTGATGCACGCTCATTTATGAGAAGAGCGTCGGGGGGGGGGGGGGATGTTGCCGGGTTCGGAGCTTGAGCGGGTGTTTTTGTTTTGCTGGGGCCGCGTATGCTGCGACACTTTGCTCTGACTTGATTCGGTGTGAGGTGAATGAGATGCACATTTTCGACAATGACAGCAGCTCTGCTGCGCTGAACGGTGCGCCAGAACGGTGTCACTGTTTCGGCGTCTTGAGGCTGGATCATCCGTGATATCGTGACATCCGTGCGAGTTCTAGCTCAGGGCTACCATCCGGTAAATTTTATACCAATGATTTTCAGTTTTTATCATCAGAGATAGAGGCGCGGTGTAAACGCCTTAAATGTTGAAGAAAAAACATAAACATGGCCTTACGCGCGAAAACTTACGCTGTTGGAGACATGGGGGCCTCGAGCCACTCCTGACATTGGCAAAATGTACCCAGCGTATATCACATATATGTGAAAAGGAACAAATAGAATTCCTGTACGTCCTCCCCGTCCCACTCCTAATCTTGGACAAACTCACCAAATACTGAGCATTGTCCAACATTCTCGATGTGTCTCAGCTTCGCTACCTTAAAATGACGTGGACGCTGCCTTTTGATGCATTACACCGAGTCGTTGGCCGCCCGCTCTTATGAAGCGCGTCCGATCTCTGAGAGCTCCAGATGCGGTGCCCCACTGCTCCCCGGATCTGCAATAATCCTCGTCCTGTGCTGTTGCAACGCATCCCCCAGTGGAATGCCGCGCATGCGTGACGTGCCCTTCCTCTCCCCTGCCCCCCCCCCCCCCCCTCCGGCCCGCGGACGTGGCTGAGACGTGACTGACTGGTGCGGAGATGTCGACCTGGGACGGCCCCTCGTGTCAGACGGCGGAGCGTGACCGCAAGGCTCTGGGAGTATGAACCTGCCGTGACGTGACGCGACGGACGCGACGTGACGTGACGTGACCAGGTGGCAGGTCCACCCAGGACGTGCCCTGACGTGACCTGACCGGGGTGAGAGCATGCCTCGCGATTTGACCCGACTGCGATCAGACGTCGGTGTCGCTGAACCGGCCGACCCGGTCGGGGATGCGGGCGCCGCGCCTCGGCCTGCTTCACTAACGGCCGTCCGTGTTCCAGTACGATGAGTACGCGGCGCTTGTAAGTTGTCGTGTGTGAGGCTGCCGAGCCGAGCCGGCCGGTCCGCGTGGCTGCTCTAGACTCTGTCGTTTCGGTCGCTGCATGCTCCCGCCGCGCTACGCCTGCTCAGTTCTGAGAGAGTCCCCGACCTTCTGTTGCACGCGCGTGCCTCGGGTGGCGTTGGGCGGCGCCTCAGCGCGCGGGCTCTCGACAGGAACCGATTGTGAGTTGGGGCTGGTGTCGAGGGGCGGGCTGGCACATGTCGGTTATGTTTCTGGTGGATGGTTTGACGTTGCCGTGGGGTGTGGATGACTGTTTCGGTGTTTGCAGTGTTTGCAAGCTAAGACGCAGTCTATAGCAGTTGTAGATATTCTCATCTGATGCATTTTAAACATAGTGGAGTAATGTTTTATTAAATGTCGAATTCATGCCGACTTCCCCCTCCGCTCCCTCATAATTTTGAAAACAAATTACACGCCGGCCATGAAACAAGGTTAGCACGCCAACTCCTATAGTTTACGCCTATAGTAGAGGATTGTCCAAGGATGCATTCGCAGCTGGTTGTACATTATAGTCGGCAGGGGGAATATTACGACAAACTGGCGATCTCCCATTAGATGAATAACCAAGTTTCATTTGACCTCTCTCATTCCTTTACAGAGCACATGGAGGTGTAACGCCGTTCCATATATGCCATATTATGCACCTGGCTTGTGTTCCGAGTAGTTTTGCTAACTTCTGCTCCTGCTTATTTGCTTTTTGGCTTTTGTAGCATATTTCAGGCTTTGCGGGGATCCTGGGATATTCAACGCTATGCGCTTGAAACGCAGATGTTTTGGTCATGTTTGCGATTGTAACATGAATTTGTAATGAATAGAATCGTTGCACAGAATTGACCTGAAATATTAACAACGTTTTTATGTAAGCGTTGCAGGTATATATATATATATATATATATATATATATATATATATATATATATATATATATATATATATATATCAATTTCCATGTTCTCTTGTCCTTCGGGTTGTGCTGTCTGTGTTTCTGGTTTGCCATGCCGGCTAGTCGCCTTCCGTCACAGGCGAACAGCGTCTACGACCTGAGTGTTTTCCTTCCGCCACAGCCAGGCAGTGACTATATTGTCATTGTTCTTCTTGTAAACCCTTCAGCCAGCATCCAAACCTCCCCGATGAACTCCGCTATGTTGTAACTCCGTGGTGGGTTATCTCACCGTGCCGTTCTGAACCGCATCTACTGCCGTATATTCCCTTGTACTCTGTGACCTTTGAATGTTACCTGGTTCTCTGTATTCACCTGTACCCGTCGGACGTTCCCGCGATACCCTAAGTTATCCACGGCCCTTCGAGTTCCCTGCGATCCGCTGCACCGGTGCACCGCCGTACCATCGGGTGGCCCCGGACGCCGCGCGTGCCTCTCGGCGCCGCTGAACCCGTCGGTGGCGCGACTCTGTTCCAGTCAGACGAGGTGTACCTGGAGGCGCAGATCCAGAACGTGACGCCCGCCGCCATGTGCATGGAGGGCGTCTCGCTGGAGCCGTCGCCCCTCTTCGACGGTGGGTCCCTGTCACTGTGATGGGAGATGGCTACCACCGACGGCGCGTCCGGAAACCCGGGCATCGTCAGCACCAACGACAACGACATGGCCGCCAGCGAGGCCTGCTGTTGCCGGCCCTACTGTCGGCCTGCTATGTAATGGATCTTCCGGAGAGGGATGAGGATGCCTTATTCGGCATGTGATTGTTTGCGCTGTTGGAAACGGCAGCACAGCACCACTTTTTCCCCAGAGTTTCTGTTTTTACGGATTACGTGTGTGCCTCTATGGCCATCTCTTGCGGAGCAGTGAGCGGGCTCGGCTCGACGCCTGATTCCCCCGTCCGTTGGTTACGTTCAGCAGCTGCTGACTGTCCAGTGGTCGTGTTCGTCCGTCAGCTGCTGGCCCTCTGCGATGCTGGTGTCCGGTACCTGCTGACCCTGAGACACTCGTGTCCGGTACCTGCTGGCCCAGACCGACACCTGTGTCCGGTACCTGCTGACCCAGACCGACACCCGTATCCGGTGCCTGCTGATCCTGACCGACACTCGTGTCCGGTACCTGCTGACCCTGGCCGGCATCCGTATCCGATACCTGCTGACTCTGACCGACACCCGTATCCGGTACCTGCTGACCCTGACCGGTACTCGTGTCCGGTACCTGCTGACCCTGACCGACACCCGTGTCCCTGCTGACCGTGACCGACACTGGTGTCCGGTACCTGCTGATCCTGACCGACACTCGTGCCCGATACCTGCTGACCCTGACCGACACCCGTATCCGGTACCTGCTGACCCTGACCGGTACTCGTGTCCGGTACCTGCTGACCCTGACCGACACTCGTGTCCGGTACCTGCTGACTGTGACCGACTCTCGTGGCTGGTACCTGGTGACCCTGACCAGCGCTCCTGTCCGGTACCTGCTGACCCTGACCGACAACCGTGTCCAGCACCTGCTGACCGTGACCGACTCTCGTGTCCGGTACCTGCTGACCCCGACCGGCAACCGTGTCCAGCACCTGCTGACCGTGACCGACTCTCGTGTCCGGTACCTGGTGACCCTGACGGACACCCGTGTCCGGTACCTGCTGATCCTGACCGACTCTCGTGTCCGGTACCTGGTGACCCTGACGGACGCCCGTGTCCGGCAGCTACCGACCTGAACGGCGTGTCCGGCGGTGAGTCGTCGTTCGGCGCCAGCGGCTGGCTGGGACCGCAGGACAGCCGTCAGTACCTGTTCTGCCTGGCGCCGCGGCCGGAGCTGCGCGCCGCCAGCAAGCAGCTCAAGGGCGTCACGAACATCGGCAAGCTGGACATCACATGGCGCACCAACCTGGGCGAGCGCGGCCGCCTGCAGACCAGCCAGCTGCAGAGGATGGTGGGTGACGTAACTGTACTGAGGAAGCTGTGGAGGCTGGTGGGTGCCGACGCAGTTGGAATGTTATAAAATAACTTAATCCGAATCTGCTGAGCGTGATCTCTGGCCCCATCATCCTATCGCGAAATTACAGGTCAACGGCAGAGTTCGGTACGAAAAGGTTAACGCACTGCAATGCTGGGCTCAGCCCGTTCTGTCCTTTGACGTCACGTGGCCTTTAACGCGGTTGCTGCCACTGGCTGCAGGCCATATCTGTCAAGGACAAATAGCGAGCGCGAAAAAGTAGTGGAAAAATGGCGAAAAAGCGATTCCAATCCAGCTCACCGCGATTGGGTAGATTGGAAGGCAGGCGCTCTCACCAACTGCTCCATTGGGACAGACGCGGGGGTGCGCAGGGTGACGGGGAGAGGCCTATTTCGGAGTTAGTTTCCGGAGATTATGGGTGCGGATGGGTTTGTTTAGGCAAGACACGTGGTCAGAAAGGCGGTGTTTTGAAATCAAGTCGTTCAAGTCGCACGACTGCCGTTTAACGGCCAGGTGGGCGACGTCGTTGGCCTCGTGTTTACGGCTGTAGGTGAGCAGGCTGCCAAACAGCCGTGTGCTCGCACCTGTGGCTGTCCGAGGTCTCGCCCACCGTCCTGACGTGGCGTGACCTGAGGTGACCTGACCTGAGGTGACCTGAACCGACGTGACCTGAGGTGACCTGACCATGTGGCTGGGTCGTCTCAGACGCCCGGTTACGGGGACCTGCGGCTGACCATCGAGGACATGCCCAGCGTGGTGGAGCTGGAGGAGACTTTCCACTTCACGTGCCGTGTGCAGAACGCCAGGTGAGTGGCACGGGCCAGCCGATGGGCCTGGGGCACCTTCTGGAGGCCAGGGCGGACAGACGTGAGCTCGCGCGAGGCGTCGTTAGAGTCGGTGTCGTTCTCGGTCGGAGTGTGTGCCGGCCAGTGGAGGAGTTCGCAGGGAGCTGTGCTTGTCACTATTAGCCTTTGGGCTGGATGTTCGGGGGTGTCCGCCATTGTGTCTGCTGATGACGTGCCCGCACTATCTGTTTCTGCGTCATTGACCATGTGCTGGCCGCCAACTCAGCTCCCTGCCACGATGTTGTCGTCCTGTCTGACGCTAGCCGCACCTTCTCTGTTGCTGACGTCCTCCGTCTCCACGCGAGGGGCATCTCCGCGCACTCCGCCGTCTGTGTCAGCATCTGACGCCCTTCACGTTCGCGCCATTGTTCCCCTGCCGTGCGCACCAGTGTCCCCCTCCAGTACGCCTCAGTGTCTGACGCTCCCCGCCAATGTGTGTCAGTGTCTGACGCCCCCTCCAGTACATGTCGGTGCCTGGCTACCCCTCTAATGCGTATCGTTGTCTGACGCCCCGTCCAGTTCATGTCAGTGTCTGTGCCCCTCCAGTGCGTGTCAGGGTCTGCGTTCCTTCCACTGCGTGTCAGTGTCTGACGCCCCCTCCAGTGCGCGCCAGTGTCTGATGCCCCCTCCAATGCGTGTCAGAGTCTGACGCCCCCCCCCCCCCCCCCCAGTGCGTGTCATTATCCGACGATCCCTCCAGTGCGTGTCGGTGTCTACGCACCTCCAGTGCGTGTCAGTGTCTGACGCCCCATCTCGTGTGCGTCAGTGACCGCAGCCTGGCGCTGTCGCTGCGTCTGGAGCCGCCGGCCGGCGAGCCGGGCCTGGTGTGGCGCGGCGTCAGCGGGCGCCAGCTGGGTCAGCTGGCGCCCGGCGCCACGGCGCCAGTGACGCTGCAGATGGTGGCGCGCCGCCTCGGGCTGCAGACCATCTCGGGCGTTCGCCTGCTGGACGCGGGCCTCAACCGGCCCTATGACTACGACAACCTGGCGCAGGTGTTTGTGCGCCGGCTGTGCCCCGTCTGAGGCGGCGGGTCGAGGCTGAGCCTCTCGGCGTCTGTACCCGCTGCCGTGTCGGTGGCTTGCGTGAGAGAGGGTGGAGCCGGGCAGACGTTAAGCAGCGCGAGGTTGCGCCGGACGTGTGGTCTAAGGTGTACAGTGGAGGACGCGGGTGAACGCCCCTCGCCGTGGGGTCTGAGGCGTTGCGCCGTGGTGATGGCGCCTGGCATCTGTGAATTGAGTTATGCTTGTTACTGACGGTAACAGTTTTGTTAAGTTTTATTATCATTTATCATTGCCGCAGATGAGTTAGTTGTGGACGGACCCGCCGGGTAGACGTGCCCGACCGAGAGAGCGGCGCTGGGTTTTATTGGATGCCGTTTATATAGATGCGCCATCCGGGAGTGTCAGTGACGCGTCCGTGCCGTCTCATGGTTTTACTCCGGCTTATACATTCCTTTGGTGAGTTATTCGGTCTTTATCAGATGCTGGAACCTTATCACACGTATGGGACTCGAGATCCTACTGCGCTGATCAGGGAGCTTGGAATAACGGCGCTAACAAAGCTCTTTCGCCTCACAGTCCAATTTGCGTACCAAGCCCAGCATGCTGACACTACGGATGTCATTACTGGTCGAAATGTCACTAAGATCTCCATGTCTGCTCATTTGTCAGTCAGTCCATTCTCCTGATCGCTCCGACCGCTTAGCCCGCCCCAAAGATTCATGCCAGTTGTCCTAGGTCCGCACACCAGGCGGGTTGCCTGTGAACCGATACCAATCTTCGAGGCGTTGGTCAGCGCAGACGGATGGGACGAACTTTGACATCCAGTGACAGCGAAAAGACCACCGCGCCAGCCGGTTGTGCGTGTCTGTTCAAGAGCGCTGCTCCGACGTGAGTGCGTACGCCCGACGTGACACCGGGTACACACGCTCGTTTGAGAACCATCTCGCCAGTTGGTGCTGCCCGCGTGCGCTCTCGAAAAACTCGGGAGTGTCCGACCATTCCCGTGGGATCTCGGTGAGCAGTCCATTAATACGCCCCGGAGCTGGCTGTTCTCGCTCGGGTTAGCCACCGTTTGTCGCATGATTGGCGTCCCGCTCCAGCGTTTGCTGAAGCGACAGCGGAGACGGCGAGCCATGGCGCCGTACCGCCCGCAGCGTGCCGTTTCAAACACAACCCGAGAGTTTCTAGATAGCCGCCATTGGGCGTGCACGGGCGCAGCGGGAGCTGACGCACTCAAGTAATCAAATCATTAGGCTGAAGTGTCCCACACTTACACTCTCCCACGATGGCTAACACTGCATCTGGCATTCCGCCATGGCCAGCACCGCATCTGACATTCCGCCATGGCCAACATCGCGCCTGACGTCCCCCCATGACCGACATCGCACCTGACCCACACCACCCAAGACACGGCCGTTACGTTTTCCTGTTTATTGGTCGATGACTGACGATTGCGGCGGCGACGACGACGCGTCCGGTTTTGATGGTCCACCGACCCTGGCAGGCCCACGTCCAAAGCATACTGTGGATGTCACGGCAGAGTACTTCAGCTCACACGCAAGACTAGTCTAGATATAAGAAACGGCCGGCGCCGCATGGCGCTGGCCGCGGCCGGGCGACAGGGGCTCGCCGCGAGGGCACGCGCGCGTGTGAAGCCGGGGCGGGCGCCGAACGGGCACCGTCAAGATAAAACATACAAAGCAGCGCGGCCGGGTGCCAGGTGGCGGCGATGGTGAAGAGAGGCCTCAGGCGGCGAGACCTGCAACGGGGCACGGCGTCAGCCAGGGGTGGCGTGCTGTGGCCGCCCAGGGAGCGGACGCTGACGGACGCCATCGGAAACCAGACAGGATAGCTCTAGGAAACCATACACAGAGTGCGCTAGTGACGGCCACGGCGCACTTGGCGCGGAATGTGTGGCCCTGCTACGAGCCATGAAATCAGCTGAAATTTATTACATTTGATTGAGTGTAGAACCCGACCACAGCCGGGCTACGGTCAACGTAAAGCGAAACTTACAACCACCGTGCACCACTCCACGATGAGAACGGGACAACTGTGATGATGATGATGGGTTGGGCTTTAGGGCGCGCCGACTACCTTGGTCATATGGCGCCCATACGACAAAACCAACACTTCTCCAACCAAACGAGGCATATCCCAACTGGCGTCACTTCCCAGTTGCACATCTGCCAAACGATAAGCGTCAAACATGGCGCGGATAATGCGGACTCGCCTGTGTTAAAGGACACTGCAGGAGGACTTCTCCCTGAAGGGGTTGGCTTTCTGAGACGAGAATCCCACCAGAAGGTAGTCGTCCTGCTCGTGGTCTACGATGTATTTCTGAAACAAAAACGCAGATTTGCAGCAGAAGCCCGCGGGGAGCTGCGCACGAGTGACGTACTTTGACCCGGAGCATTGTCAGTCGTTTCACGAGGCGCTGTGCAGCATGCCAAATCAAATATTTTCACTACTTTTTTTGTGCAATGGTTCATTAAAGTACCCTGAAACTTTGATAACCTGGACCCACAATTAGAAAGTGCAATGAAGCCTCCCATATTTGTCATAACAAATTAAGTATTTCGTAGATAATCATTTCAATGAAAGCTGCACCAGAGCTAAAAAAAATAACAAACAATAAAAACGTCTCGCATTGAGCAAGGCGCCTGCGACATGCCGATTTATTACCTATACCTTTCTTGATGTCATATAATTGTCATATCTAGTGTGCATTTGTAAATGCAGAGTCCAAGAGGTATCTCACAAACGTCTTACTTTTCAAAGCCTTCTCCCAACCATATCCAAGAGTCCTAAACCAGATCAGCTCACTGTCCGGCTTAAAAACGCTTCCTCGAGACGAAGGCTACCGTTTTAAATTGGGGCCCTGTGTCACCATGCCCAGTGTTCTGCGAACACTCGGCGGTATCATGACGGCCGATGCATTAGCTCAAGACCACAGCACAATGCAATACCCCTAACGGCAAAGCGAGCCACGACGAGCAGCCATATCATTCCCTCGCCGGGCCCGCTGGCACGCCCAGCCCAGGAATATCCCACCACGGGCGCACACCCTGATGGGGCCGGGGTGGCGCCTTCCTGCCGCGGGCGGTGCGCGTTGGCCGATTGGACATCGACCGGAGCATGCCGATTGTCCGCAGGGGGCGGCGGCACTTAGCGCGTCCGGAACCGGACGGAACGACCGGCAGCCGGCGGCAGCGTCATGTCCGGACACCGGGGCTCCCGCTGCGCTCACCAGCGGCGGCGGCGGGGGACGACTCAGGGTGGGTGAGGTGGCGCCATCTCACCACAGCGGGGCGTCCTGCCGCACGACGGCAGCCCAGCTGGGGCTGCTGCCCACTCAGGGGAGCAGATAACGACGGCGTCATTTCCGGACTGCGGGGGGCCCGCCGTCCGACTGCGAGCGCCATCGGACTTTCGCTTCCGACCCGGCGCGCTCGGGACTGAACGGGAACCATTTCCGGACACAGGGCCGGCCTTCTCCCGTCTCAGGAGGCAACAATGGTGCCGTCGTCGCGCACGAGGGACCGTGGCAACCGCGGACATGGTCACAGCGCCCGCCCGCTGTTGGTGCCTGAGCGACTGGCCCCAACCGTCCCTCGGCCCATATGGTGCCTACGTGGTCCCTCGGCTCAAGCCAAGCCGCAGCAATCGCTATCCACAGCACATGCCTTTACAACTCGCAACAAATACGACCGCGGTCCAACGCAACCAAACCCTCCCATCGCCAGCACGCCATCCCGGTCGCCGGCTCGACTCGACCGTCAGCCAGCGTTACCAAGACCCCTGCCCCTCCTGACCGACGCTAAGCTCGCTGTCGCCGCGGCTCACCTTGATGTCCTCCACGGCGATGGAGACGTTGATGCGCCGTATGCCCGCCTCACGGCGCAGCTGCTCGACCAACACCCGCTGCTGCTGCACGTTCGACATCTGCAACACCCGGCGAGCCGTCACAGGCGGCGGCGAGCGCAAGAAACGGGCGCCGGAGATGTGGCGGGAGAGCTCCGACCGAGTCAGCCGACAAAACCGAGAGAGGATGCCTACGTCAAACGACCGCAATTGAGTCTGGACCAATGAATTGGAAATTAAAGATCAGAGGGAAGAAATTGTGATACCACGTGGTACGACGTACGTGGTACCACGTAGTACCACGTGGTACCACGTGGAAGACCACGTGGTGCGACGAAGAACGATTGCAGCAAATCGGCAGGAGCCCCGAACTGAGAGCAAAAATTGTGGCAAAACAGAGACGGGGGTTGCGACCAGAACCATAACCCCAAATCAAACCGAAACTATTATGGAAATGATCAGGAACTCCAGCGAAATCGACGAAATCCATGGCAGAGCAGAAACCGCAACTGAAACCAAATCCGCCCGCAGTTCGGATAAAAACTGAGACCGAGATACCACCACAATCTACAAGAGTCACAGAACTAGGGCAAAGGCCACGGCAGAACCTAGAACAAGTCTGGCGTAGGAGCGAAAGCTGGCCGCGCAGCCGGAGCAGTCATCGCGGTCGCACACGGACAGCGCACGACGTTCCCAGGGTGCAGCCGGACCCGGGGTCGCGGCTCGGGCCAGGCACCACCTGCAGGTGACCTGGACCCGGGGTCGCGGCTCGGGCCAGGCGCGGGCTGCCGGTGACCTGGACGGCGCGCCAGGCCAGCGCGGCCGCCAGCTCGATCTCGTGAGCCGCCTGCCGCGACACGGCGGCGAGCGGACGTGCTGTGTGTGGCGCCGCATGTCCCCGTGGCGTGCTGCAGCTCCGCATGTGCAAGCCAGTGCGCGACAAACCGTGTTTGTTCCAGTTGGTGTGGCAAAAGCTTGAAGCTGTAGGCTGAGAGTCCTTGCCTGCCTTAGGATGTGGATGCCTACAGTGACTCAACTGCATTGATGAACTCAGGGGTGTGTATAAGGATGCAATGCAATTATCACATCCATAAGGACACCTTAATGCAATTTAACTAAGCTGAGCCAGACTGAACCAACTGCCTCATGTTTTGGCTGTAAGATAGAAACTCAGACATGGTCAGGACATGTGTGAGCAAAGATATCACAACTTATCAATGGAGCAATTCCCAGCATGTAGAACCCCCACAAATTGTGCAAGATGTGGTGGCCGCCCAAATGGCCATCACCATGCTTATAGTAGTAATAATGATCTGTGTGGAAGACTACCAATTAGACACCATCTGCAGAAAAAGAGGCAAAACATGCCACAAAAGCTATAGCAGGCTTTGTGGCAGCAAGCTGTGCTCCTACTCCAAAGCTGGCATCAGCAGAAGTGGTGGGCAGTCTAGGCTGTGCTCAGAGTGGGCACACTGTGCAATGGCTCTTCATATGGTTACCTGCATACTTGGAAGTACTACAGCCATGGTCCTGGAATAACACTACAATTTCAATACAATGACAAAACAGTTGTCTCCTAACACATCACTGCTCAGGTGCTGCAACAACTGGGGAACATTATACAATTCAATCTAGCACACATCTGACAGGTTTGTGGCTCAACAGAGACATGCAACACAACAGACATTACCCACTTACCATCAATCTACAAGTAGGGATACAACAGATTGACATGATCAGATGGGGTTTGTGATCATGCAAGCAACAGATAAAGCTTAGTTGTATTATATTCTCCTGGACACAGAGATCAATCCCATGATATTTGAGTCACACAACCATGTACCTAACAAATCAAATTGTGCTTCAAAATGTTTTTTATTTCAAACTTTCATTCTTTATGCAATGTGCCACTGATGCAAGCAGCAGTAAGCTTGTTTGGCAGGCTCATTTTTGTACAAAAACCACCTGGTATTTGACCCATTAACACAAAAAAACTCAAGGAGCACAGTTTGCTCCTTGAAGCAAGCTGCATGCCTATAAAAATGAAGGAATTAAAGGAAAATGAATATGAAGAAAGGAAACTGAATGACAAATGAAAACAGATTTATTCATTGAATCTGATACATTTTGTATAAGCAGTATCATAACCAAGGCTACCAAATTTGGGGATGACTTCTAATCTATGTTGCATTAGCAACATTTTCAAAACCTTGCACTGAATGTGAGGCATAGCATTTATAGTGCCAGCAAAATACAAGGCCATCCTCAAGTCTCTTGAAATTTCTTGGGTGTATCAAATGCAACAAGGGTAACATGGTCAACATTGTCTATTTTGATAACAGCAGACATGTTGATGGCCCTAACAACATTAAATAATTTAAACCATATCTATACATAAGCATACATCAGTGATGTCATGGCAAAAGTTTCAGTGTATATACATGATATATCCCAACACTCAGAGTTTGATGCATCGCTAACACCAATTTCAGTGCATAGTTAATGTTTCAGTGTATAATGTTACTGCAGTCAATTCTGACCTGCAGCGATGCATTTTTCATATCAACAATTTCAAAATTCAGCAAAAATTGGCCTGGCCCTCAAGCATAAGTTTCAGCAAACACAAACAAAGGGATCAGCATACCAGTCACAAAAGCATCTGGCATAGTGGATATATATACATTGTTTTGCACTGGTTGATGCTCCATCACTGCCAGCCATATTGCATGGAGCATAAGGCCATAAAGACCAGCCGGATTACCTAGCCTGATAGTAAAGGCCAGACACCCAGGCATCATACCATCTTGATGAATATTTTAGTCAGTTCCTGGGTTTTAGATTGGCATAGGTAAGACAGCAGTAATGGCCTTATTCCTTGGAGAAGAACCAGAGTGGAAATAAAGATGTTAAGATTTTTCAACAACATACCTTGATCAAAACAAACAGCAGAAGTCTTTCTGGAGTCTACACAAGTTGTGAGAAATTTCGGTTTTCTTCAAGTACTTCACCTTTTTTAGAAGAAGAAAAATCTCCACCGCGAGCGTTTTACGCGCAGTGCGGCACGGGCTCAACCAGCTCGCGTTAGCAGGATTGCCCGACTTTGAAATCATACAATCCAAACGACATCTTTAGCACCAAAAGTAATGAGCAGGCAATTAACATTATTCACTACGTCGCTTCGACCACTGCTACTCACAATGCTCGCTTGATTGCCTATCATCTTCAAGAAATAACCATCTGATAATATAATAATTTCGGCCACAAACAGGTCACATGATTTTTAACACGCGGACAGCCGACGATTTATAGCATGTGCTAAAAGGGCATCATAAGCACCAAATTACGTACCTTCGAGCAATCAAGAAAAGTATCCCAGTTCTTCACATTCGCGTCTCGAATTGATGTTTCCAAACATACAGCACAGAGAAAAACCCAACAATGTCGGCGGAACTGAAGCATTTCCAGCAGTCTTAAAAAACGGACCAAGCCACGGGAACCAAACACCGAAGCCAAGCCAACGTTTTCGGTGCGGTACATTGACGTCTATTAGCGCAGTGCATCTCATACACGAGTCCGGATAATGTGATTCAAACTTATTAGGACCAAACACATCGTGACGACATTGTCGCTTAAACTACAACACTTGGGTTCAATTAATATGACTACTCTGTTGCCGTGACATGCTGCAATCATGTGCAGAGGACTGTCGTAGTACCCTCTTAAAGTAGTGCACCTCCTGTACAATTCCAACGAGCAAGGCTTGAAATCGCTCTGACATCTAGAGACATACTCTGCCGAGATAATATGTCAACAGCCACCCTAAGGAAACGGATCAAGCCCCGGGAAACGAAGACTGAAGCAAGGCCAGCGTTTTCGGTACGGTACATATACGTCTGTTAGCGTAGTGCACCTCACACACGAGTCCGGATAATGCAATTCACACCTTTAGAACTGAACACGTCGTACTGAAAATGTCGATGGAACTGCGAGACTTCGGTCCGATGAAAAAGACTCATGCATTGCCGTGAGATGCTGCAATCATGTCGTGCAGAGGGACTGCCGTAGCACGCTCTTAAAGTAGTGCACCTCTTGCACAATTCCAACGAGCAAGGCTTGAAATCGCTCTGACATCCAGAGACATACTCTGCCGAGATATGCCAACAGCCACCCTAAGGAAACGGATCACGCCCCGGGAAACGAAGACTGAAGCAAGGCCAGCGTTTCGGTACGGTACATATACGTCTATTAGCGTAGTGCACCTCACACACGAGTCCGGATCATGCGATTCACACTTATTAGGACTAAACACATCTTGCTGACGATGTCGGTGGATATGCCAGACCACGGTCCGATGAATAAGACTCATGCATTGCCGTCAGATGTTGCCATCATTGGCGGGCGGACTGCAGTAGCACCCTTTTCAAGTAGTACACCTCTTGTATAATTCCAATTGGCGAGGCCTAGAAACCACTCTGACATCCAAAGACGCTCTCTGCCGAGATAATATGCCAACAGCCACGCTAAGCAAACGGACCAAGCCCCGGGAAACGAAGACTGAAGCAAGGCCAGCGTTTTCGGTACGGTACATATACGTCTGTTAGCGTAGTGCACCTCACACGCGAGTCCGGATCATGCGATTCACACTTATTAGGACTAAACACATCTTGCTGACGATGTCGGTGGATATGCAAGACTTCGGTCCGATGAATAAGACTCATGCATTGTCGTCAGATGTTGCCGTCATTGGCGGACGGACTGCAGTAGCACCCTCTTCAAGTAGTACACCTCTTGTATAATTCCAATTGGCGAGACCTAGAAACCACTCTGACATCCAAAGACGTACTCTGCCGAGATAATATGCCAACAGCCACGCTAAGCAAACGGACCAAGCCCCGGGGAACGAAGACTGAAGCAAGGCCAGCGTTTTCGGTACGGTACATATACGTCTGTTAGCGTAGTGCATCTCACACACGAGTCCGGATCATGCGATTCACACTTATTAGGACTAAACACATCTTGCTGACGATGGTATAAGGTACGCTGCGCTTATAAATACATATGTACCGTACCGAAAACGTTGGCCTCGTTTCGGTCTTCGGTTTCCGGGGCTTGGTCCGTTCCCTTAGAATTGCTGTTGACACATTATTTCGGTACAGTGTGTCTTTGGATGACAAAGCGGTTTTTAGGTCTCGCCAACCAATTATGCAAGAGGCGCACTACTTTAAGAAGATGCTACTACAGTCTGTCCGCACATGATGGTGACATCCCACGACAGTGCATGAGTCTTATTCATTGAATCAAACCATTGCAGCTCAACCGACATTGTCGGCACAATGTGTTTATTTCTACTTAGTGTGAATCGCGTTGTAAGGGCTCTTGTTTCAGGTGCACCGCACGACTAAACGTATATGTACCGTACCTAAACCGTTGCCTGTGTTTCGGTCCTCGGTTCCCGGGGCTTGGCTTCGTTCCTCAGGGTCCGTGTCGGGATGTTATCTCAGCGGGGTGTGTCTTTGCCTTTCAGAGTGGTTTTTAGGTCTCGCCAATTGGAATTATACAAGAGGTGTACTACTTTAAGAGGGTGCTACTACAGCCTGTCCGCACATGATGGCAGCATCTCACGGCAATGCATCAGCCTTATTCATCGGACCGAAGTCTCGCAGTTCCACCGTCATTGTCAGCACGATGTGTTTAATTTCCATAAGTGTGAATCGTCTGATCCGGACTCGTGCATGAGGTGCACTGCGCTAATAGACGCATATGTGCCGTACCGAAAACGCTGGCCTAGCTTCAGTCTTCGGTTCCAAGGCTTGGTCCGTATCCTTAGGATTTTTATTGGCATATTATCTCGGTAGAGTATGTCTTTGGATGTCGGAGCGGTTTTTAGGTCCCGCCAATTGGAATTATACCAGAGGTGTACTACTTGAAGAGGGTGCTACTGCAGTCCGTCCGCCAATGATGGCAACATCTGACGGCAATGCATGAGTCTTATTCATCGGACCGTGGTCTGGAATATCCACCGACATCGTCAGCAAGATGTGTTTGGTCATAATAAGTGTGAATCGCATGATCCGGACTCGTGCGTAAGGTGCACTCGCTAATAGACGTATATGTACCGTACCGAAACGCTGGCCTTGCTTCAGTCTTCGTTTCCCGGGGCTTGATCCGTTTCCTTAGGGTGGCTGTTGGCATAATATCTCGGCAGAGTATGTCTCTGGATGTCAGAGCGATTTCAAGCCTTGCTCGTTGGAATTGTACAAGAGGTGCACTACTTTAAGAGCGTGCTACGACAGTCCCTCTGCACGACACGATTGCAGCATCTCACGGCAATGCATGAGTCTTATTCATCGGACCGAAGTCTTGCAGGTCCATCGACATTGTCAGCACGACGTGTTCAGTTCTAAAGGTGGGAATTGCATTATCCGGACTCGTGTGTGAGGTGCACTACGCTAACAGACGTATATGTACCGTACCGAAAACGCTGGCCTTGCTTCAGTCTTCGTTTCCCGAGGCTTGATCCGTTTCCTTAGGGTGGCTGTTGGCATATTATCTCGGCAGAGTGTGTCTCTGGAT